TAGTTTGCCGTTTCTAGACTGCATTTAGGCCTACTACAGTATCTATCTGTAGTAGTACAACAATACAGTATCAGGTGACTGTATTGTTAGTCAGAAGTAACTCTGATTAAAGTCAGCGCTGGGCTCATATCCCCACAATCTCAACACGAATTGTAATAATACCGGTGCTGGCACTGACGCTGCCATTTTTCAGCTGTCAAACCATCATCGTTCTAAATAGGTGCGCTATAAGTAAGGTACTAGTGGATAACAGTGTTGCTGTGACTGCAATAGGCTAAAAGCTCAGACTAGGCTTTGAGGACTAGACTACACTATCAAAGCTAAGCAAATGTAAACTAAGAGACCTGACTGCGTAAAAGGAGAGGTACAATTGTGTCTAAACTAAGTAATGAAGTTACAACCAGCTAGATTAGAATTATGTGTAACTAATAAAGCAAATTAACTGCTGCTGTCACATTTTACGAAGTTTGGGCTAGGATACTGCTGCCAGAGGTAATATGTCACTGCTAAGAGTGCTAATTCTAGTTATCATACTTACTAAGCGCAGCGGATAGTATATTCTGGTAATATATTCCTATAATTGTATAAATAGCTGACATGCATCCCATTTTTGCAACAAACATAGCAAATGGGAATATGAACTTACGCGCCTCCTAAACTTCATCCGGTGTGATTTGTAAGACCACACATACACCGTGTACAAAAGTCAATCCGACAAAAATTTGTCCTAAAACTGGCTGTTCAAAAATCAGATGTGATACTGAAGCCTAAATATTCGGGTTTCTATTCGTAAGTCTTCAGTAGCAATCGTTTTTAGAGTTTCAAGTTTTCTCGAATAAAGCTTTTCCTGTACTGACTTCTCCAAATAGTGACCTCCGCATCATGCGAACCGCCTTCCAATCCTGTTTCTCTGGTTAAAACACCTATTTGAGATCACCGTGTTAAGTATGCATGTTTTTCCCGGAGTGGTTTTCAGTTACAGATTATTCCTTGTTTCCTGCTTAATTGCATCACGTTTGCCGTGAATCTGATACATCTGTCTAACTAGGTTGGTGGCAAGCAGATTCCTGCTTTAACATGGTCCATTCCTTGACCTTCGTCGTCAGATAAGGGAGTGGATTGAGGTCCCCAGGTCCTCTGCCACAAATCATCATGCGTACTAGCCGCGTCGCCATCTACGTCGGATTGTTCAAGCATAATAACAGTCGACATATGCCCAACATCAGCCCTCAGGTTTATATGCATAGCCTTCCACGAACATGTCGTATTAATTCCGCGCCTGGTGTATACCTTCCAAGTCGTGTTCTCTTGTTCTGACTTGTTTAATATGAATTCACATGGCTATTGTTCATGATACAACATAGATAAAGAAAGTCAAAAGTGTTCCAACGTCAGAGCATTCATTTTAACCGAATAAGACACCAGTTGGATGTCTTATCGATCCCCAAACTTGCTCCTCGAAAGCTAGGTTCCCATCTGGACCCTGTGACGATCACATATAGGCTGCCTTTGTATCTCCGTCGTATTATTCCTTCCTAGCTCCTGCATCTGTGTTTGATCCATGTGACAAGGGACCACAGCAACTAGAAGTGTCGAACACTTTGCTTTGCCATTGCTAGGTCCTCAGCA